GAGAGAGAGAGGGGGAGAGAAAACGCGAGAGATTTACCGATGTATCGCGCGCGGACACAAAGGCCCGGAATATATTTCCGTGCCCGGCGAGGCCATCATCTATAAAATACACGCCGCCCAGTCTAGACAAGCTTAAGCGGCGGATGACAGTTTTACGTCGTCGGTTATGCGAGCGTAGTCGGCCGACGACGACGACGCGGGCGAGGGTGAGAAAGGGGATCCGCGCGGAGCGGAGCACATGACTCGTATTAAATAGCGCGGACACGTTCGATTTTACGGCGCCGTTGTATCCGGCAAGGATTACGATGGCGGATGACATTGACAGCGTGCGCACACGAGAGACACTGCAACCCGGTCATCTCGTCGTAGGAGCCGTAATTGGAAATTACGGCGAGGAACACACTCCCGGCACGGGGACACGGCCGGAGGTGCGACGTCGTAAGATCGCCACTACGAGGAACGGACACGACTCTCCAGCCACCGCGAGGATGTGTTTACGATCGCGGATTAGTATCTTCTTTCCTCTTTACAGCAGCGGTTCTTCATTTCCTCGATGTTAATCAGCGTCTCGGAATTTATTCGCACACCCATTCGCGGAAATCGCATGCTGATTTTTTTTTTATATTTTTATCAGCGAGGATTAATTTTATATAATGTCTCGCATCTCTGTATATTCTATTAAAATCCAAAACAATGGATTCGCAACCCCCCGAGGAATTACATAACTCTTTGTTAAGAACCACTGTTTTATGAGATCACGATGTCGTTTTTTCCTTGCGTCTTTGTGGGTTTCGACTTGATAGATAAATGTTTGTAGCGATATTTCTCTTATTTTCACAGGGGATGCGGGTACACGCTGAAGTAATTTAAGATAAGAGAGATAGAAAAAATTGACGTTGACATTTAAAAAATACAATTGTGAACATTATTGCATAATATTATTATCGAGACAATATTTAATTAAACACATAGTAAGGTAAGGTAGCTAATAACTGCACAATTTATCCATGAATTTAGATTACAACTTTTCCTTTAATAAATAAATTACGAAACCTAGGAGAGGGAAGATGATTAAATATGAATATCGAATGTCAGGAATGCGGAAGAGAGCTGCGAAATATCGCGGGTCGAGGAATTTTTACAAAGTGCAAATTATTTTAATATTTCTGCAGCGGAGAACGCATGCCGTGTAAGAGCAACTTCGGAAAGGCGACGTGGTCCCGCATCCCGCGAACGTGGTCCACATTTCCATCGTGGCTGAGATATAACGGGTGGGCCGGTGAGAAAGGCGAGCGGCGAATTTATGGGCCGCTCCGAGATTATTTCGAGACTTACGCCGAGGAAAGGTGCATCGCGCTAAACAAATTTATGGCACGCCCGAGATTATGGTCGACGAAAAGTAGCTGGAGAGCTCCCCGGCGAGTTTTCCGAATCGAAATTCTCCTCCCGTCTTAGCTGTCTTCTCTCTTTTCCCTCGGATGGAGCGGCGCCGCGCCGTGCGCTTTCACGGAAGCGTCGATCGCGGCAGGATATCCTCTCAATTTATTTTCTTTTCGTTAAAAGTTCTTTTCGCTCGTAAATACATAGAATCTAATATGAGAGACAGATTCCTACTGTGAAACACGCTGTAGTTGTATTTGGAAAGGGCGCATTCAGTTTAGACCTTATATATTACGATATTCTCCCCAGATATTTATCTACGGAAGTTTTTAAAGCTTCAATTTTTTTAATGAAAACTGAAAATATCACATTTTTTTATCACTAAACTTTTTTATTACTTTAGTATTGTTAGTATATTATGTATCCTGTTTTGTTATATTTTTCGCAGTTTTTCGATTATTATAAAGAAAAATTAAATTATTTAAGAATAGAACTCGCTTTGACCCAAACAATTTTCATCAATCATCTTGCAAAAATCTTTTATTGCTTAAAAATCAATATTAATTAATATAAAAAAATCAATATTAATTTCAATAATTGTCTATATTATTTTTGTATGTTTAACGTATGACATCTTACGATTAAGTGTTGTTTCTAAAGTAATTTAACTATTATCGATAATGCAAATCAGAAAGCAACGTGCACCAATCATAATTAAATTTCATGATGATTGATCGTTCACGGACTGTGCGCGGAATTTAACGCCGAAGAAATTTGTGGGAAAGCGAATTTCTGTAAAAGTTATTTATCATCATTGCGAATAATCCGCAAAACAGGATTAAATCAATATCTTACAAAATATCTAAAAAAAATATGTTGCATTATAAAAGTTTAATAAGAAGCGTATATATAGCTATCTCGCAATAATGTCGATTAAAAAGTGAGAAAAAAATTAAGCGGTTAGCAAAATAGCGTGATTGTATAAATTGATATTACGAAATCGGCTCCATTTTGATCGAACGACTTCTAATATTTTTTATCTAATATTTTATTAATATAGAATATTAATAAAATTAATATTCTATCTAATATTTTTAGTACTAAAGTAGGAGTAATAGCAATTAATGTCATATGATAAATCAAAAGCAGACATGCTGCAGGCTTTGGCATTACCTTAAGCTCGTAATGATCGATGAAAAATGTCGCGCTATGAACTTCAACTAAAGTCATGATTGATTGCAAACGGATGTCGCAATTTCGTAGCAGCAATTACTTCACATTACGTCACGTAGCACAAATGTGTGTATGTTCTCAGCGCACTTGTTGAGCAGGATTTCGATCAATTTTTTTAATTGAAAACATTTATTTTATAGCTTCCAAGGCCTATCATCGTAAATCTGGAAGCATTTTTATCGCACAAAGCAATAGCTAAATAAATGATTTGTTGTATTATCGGTACAATGCAAGCAATTATTTCTTAGCATTCTAACAAATTGCTACTGATGTGAAAATAAGAGCCTACAAGTGAAAAAAACACTTTTGTCGAAGTATCTAAAAATTTGACTAGATCAGACAAACCGGACCATTTAATTTTTGTATATAGGACATTCAAATGATTAGTAAAATATTAATTTTTGCAGTATTTTTGAAGTATTTTTCCAGCCAAAATATTTATATATAGATCGTTCAAATTGGTTATTAAAATATTAATTTCTGCAGTATTATTATCATGCTTAATATCATCCTATAATAATTTTGATAACCCAACAAAATTATTTTCAAATCTATATCTGACCAAGTTTTTAAACATTTCAACAAAAGTTGTTTCTTTCCTTTATGTGTTTATATTTTCATGCAGGAAAAAAATTCTATTTCAAATAATTACAAGAATATTTGATGATTTTTTAACATTGTTCTTTAGTACAATGCATAAAGTGATATTGTTATTTCTAATCATAGTCTTTGCACGTCTTTATCATGAAAGTAGTGGATATTTCGTATGAATATGTTATATCCAAGTAAATATAACATTTTATAATAAATTCTAATAAAGTACTTATATTTAAGATGAGACAATAATTCGAAATGTCATGTCAATGTAATGACATGACTAAAAAGTTTGTATAGTTTGTGAAAATAATTTTACGTTGGCAAACATACGTACTATTTTTTAAAATGCAAATCTAGATATATCGACCAAAAAATATGTTTTAGCTTTTAATGGAACAGCATATTTAGAAACATATGACTCTAAAACATTCGAACATTTCTCCGACGGGATACGTATGTCGTAATTTTCACGATGATTGCTTTTTATGTTTCATCTGACTAAGTGTGCGAAAATTGCACACGGGCTGTTTTCGAGTTTGCTAAATGCGAGCGAAGTTGTCGCCGCTACTTGCAATTCGAGTTCGAAAGTTCGTTAGAATCTATCGAACTGTGAGAAAAGCACACATTGCCCCCTTCTTAACTCTCGTAGTTTCTTAACTTTCGTGATGACTCGTATCTCAACGCTATCCTTCAGGTTTGTCCCATAATTCACTTATTATCATTACACGTCGAAAAAAATAATAGTTAACTACTTAACTAAAGTTGTTAATTTTATGAAAAAATATATCAGCACAAATTAAAATATGAATAAACATATTAATATACATAAAACTAAAAATTTATTTAGCAAAGAATGTTCTCGTTTTTGCATTATTTTTAATTTATTATTTTTCCCGTCTGCTCATTCTTTATATTACGAGTTGTTAACAAAGCTTATATTTCCGAATATAAATTATAAATTATTGTTTTACTTCGTGTTCTAAATTACTATTATATATATATATATATATCCCAAACATTGTCGCGCAAAAGCCATCGCGAAAGCTAAGAGAAGCCGTGATCAAATCCGGTCTATCCAGTCCTACCTAATAACGAAAACTACTCTCGAGGCAGGCATCCAATAGTATATCGATAGCGCTCGGAGTTTGGGGCGGGTGTCGAGCGAGAACAACGTATTCTCTGCTGTTGCGGATATCTAGAATTAACTACTCGCCGTTGTCTGAATAGTTTCTCCGACGTGTTATTACGAAGGGGTTGCCGAAAGCTCGAGGGGAGAGAAGCCGCCATGAGCGTGCGGATTAATAGTAAAGTCGGTCGAGCTCACCGTTTGTGCTGGATCCTGAGGCCTCTTCGGGGGTGCAGCGGTACACCGTCCTTCAGCCAGTGCACTCTCGGGGGCGGCGAGCCCCTCGTCCTGCATACTAGCTTCACTTTCTCCCGTATCCTCGCTATCGAGTCCCTGAGTTCGGACAACGTAACTTCTCGCACTGAAATCAAAAGTTATAATCTCGTTAACGCCCCGCTGCACGTGTTCGCGCGCTTTCGGATATCACAGGGTTCCCAATATCAGAGAGTTTTAATTAATTCGTATAATATTCAGGGTGAAATATTTAAATCTTCAACCATGTCTATGAGACGTTTGTGTAATATTTTACAAATTCAAAGCTTCAAAATTAAGAGAAGCGTTATCGAGTTAATGTTGGTCGAATTATCTTAATAACATTTTTTGATATCATGATACATACACGTGAAAATTTTGCACATCAATATGTACAAAGAAAACTAAAAAAAATTATCTCTATATTTGAAAATGGTTTGAAAGTTGATGCACATGATATTCACGAATGAAATGGTAAAACAATGAAAGCAGCGCGTTTTAACGGATAGAATGGTGCAGAAGGAGTTCGTCCTTTCGACAACTGGATATGGCTATCCGTCGGTTTTGGCAAAGGCTGCCGTGTCGCATTTCGGCCAGAGGCCGTACGGCATATCGATAGCTTGGCTATCGAGTATCAATTTACTATTCCGTTGTACTCTAGAAGTGTAAAAACGATCTGCAGGAAAATATATATAGGCCTAGATGTCTACGTATATATATATATATATATATATATATATATATTATATATATATATATACACCGTGGCCTTTTTCCCTCGGTTACGCAAAATTATCCTAGATAGCTCTCTTCCGTTTACGCGTCACGGTAATTAAGATTATTTACATGCCATAAATAAACGCGCGTGCGACGTAAAGTGCAAAGTTTTTTATTTTCAAATTAACCTGAGCATCATCGAGTTTCATTTATGACATAAGTGGTACTTAAAGTATTACGATGCTCGAGAGTGATCGAGCGGCTCTTTCGAGACTCCAATTTCCCCTTTCATCCGATCGCCTAGGTTTTTCATCGCGCGTGCGGCCCAACGAAATCTTAATTAAGTGGTAAAATGTCCGAGCGTGTGACTCACGCGCGACTTGAGAGCGTTTCCCGGGAATTCTAGACGGACCCGTTTATCGTCGAGAACCGCGTTTGGTGCGTCGCTCCTGGAACCTATCGTCTCGATCTCACCCGTACTTGGATATCGCGTTACCATTAAGTACCTTGGGCAGTATCGGCTAAATCGCGCTCGCGCGGCGAACTCGTTCGCATATCGGTCGAGGCGTGGCCGATCGATTTTTTTCCTCCTCTTCTCTAGGGTTACGCATGTACGTGTACGACCCCCTTTTACCGTGCAAATCCAGACGACCGGATTGAAAGTAATCCAGGATCGTATCCGCCCGCGCGCGCGCTGATAGCCGCCAACGTTGGACCCGCTCGCGAGACTTTGAGAGCAAACCGAACAAAACGGCATTCTTACGTTGTCGAGATCGTGCGATATTATAATATTTAGCTCACGATACGACGGTCTGTCGCGCGCTCTCAGAGGAGGAGCGTAGGTTTTCCGCGGTGTACGGTTTCGGCACGTCGAATTTTTCGATCCGCAATCGCGCGTCCGTCGCGGGAAAGTAAGCGATTTCGTTCGCGCGATGAGCGGCAACAAGCGAGGAGTTCTCTCACGAATCTCGCAATGCAACGCGCTGGGAGCGCGGGACGGGTCGCGCGCATCCGGCACCTAAATGCCTTTGCGTCCGCTCGACAATGCACGCTCGATTCGGCGCGCGCGCGACGGCGGCATCCTAACTCGCCTAATTACCATCCCGCCGCTAATTCGCGAGCCGAATATTAGCCGATCGATCGTCAGAGGCCGCGGGATCGTCGGTCTTTCCACGGTTTTCCTTTTCGCTCTCTTTCTTGGAGAGCTCGCTCCCCCCCTCCCTCTTCCTTGGAGCTCCCCCGGTTCCCCCGCCGCTGCTTCAAGACGGTGATCGCAAACGCGGTCGTCAACCCCGCGCAATTATGCGCCTGCCGGCAGAAACTCCGTAACGAGCAGAAGAATTCCTCACGTCGACCATCTTCCATTATCTAGCACGTAATCTCGGAACTCGCGGGATTTTTAGTGCCTCGATGCCGAACGACGCTGGCGCAGCGTTACGTCTCGCAGCGAAATAATCAATGGGAAGCAATGCTTCTTCTAAGCTCTGAGGTCTCCATGCAAATTTTTACAAGAGATTTATTGTCGCAAAAATGTACTAAAGAAACGAAGGCGACATTTCCTGTGGGACATTTTCGGTTTCTAAATATCGCTTTGAGGAGAAGCAATTTTTTTCGAAAACAAAAAACGTCACGTCATCGGGACACTTCCGAGAATCTTAATGCGATTTTCTTTTACCATATTTCTTTGTCGTGTTCCTACTTTCTAATCTTGTACCTGTACATGAGACCGCCCGTGCAGGACTCCAGCAAGGCACCGCCAAAAAACGGGCACGACATAATACTGAGTGCAGTCACGTGGATGAGGGTAGTATCCAAATTCCTCGGGGCATTCAAATTCCAAAACTGCTTCATTTCTGCTGGCTCTTGCGCTTCTCGGAGTATTCCGTTGGCATCCTGAAACACGTGGAAAAAGAAAAACGCGTGTCAATTTAAGTTGTACTGGTGTTATTTATCGCTTTAGCGTAACGTGTAATTTCAGTCATTTTAATCAGTTGTCAGTTTGTACTGTTGTAAGGCCAGCAAGACTTCCTTTCGTTTCCCGAATCGCAATTAATTATCACCAGATGAAAATTCGCGGCTTAAAGCCCCCGCGGGGGATTTCTGTCCGATTATACAATACATATTCGAATCGGACATGCGTTTGATCCTATCGCAGCTTATACGGTCTCTTGCATAGTCTATCCGATCTTAGATCTCCATGGAATTGCGAAATAAATTTTTTTATGCAGCCCGCATTGCGAAACGGTGAAACAAAGAAAGTCGTAGCAGTGCGGATTAATGGGCCTTGTGCGATATATAAAACCGGCAACGATTGTTATAAGCCTGGCGAAGGTTATTGTTGCTCCTTTTGCAAATCGATAATCATGTGAAATAAGCTTTTGTAATTTCGCCTAAAGTTCAAAGTGATCTTATTACAAGTTTATAAAAGACTTGTAATAAACGCTGCCTTATTAACGATGCACAACGAGATTCTGATAAATCACTACACTTGTTTATCTCGCTTTTAAAACAACATAATTTAAAATAGCCTTCTACAAATGACCTATCGAAGAATATTATTTTTCGAATGTATATACATATCATTTCTCACTCTATAATTTAGCGGAAACTCCCGTTCTCTTTCTCACGCCAACAATGTGGCGATCAAGAGTCGTGAAACTTAATCAAATGTACCTTGTCCAAAGAACAGAACGATTTTTAATAAGAATTTCCCATTGTCGCTCACGCATGCGTAAGGCTGCGTTTGATCGAAGTATCGAAGTTTTATCCTTCTTTAAATACCGCATTATGCATTAAGCCGATAATTTTATCCGGGAGCTCGGAGCATAAATACAGATTCATTAATTACGCGAACAAAGCGTGCGTCAACGTGCTAGAGTGTGAATTATGATTACGATCTATTTATTCCGACGTGGCGTACGCGCAGGGGCCAGTTGAGCCGTGAAATGTCGTAAACACGTTCAGCCTCGAACGAGCGTGACATGATTGCTCGCCGTATATCACCCTGTACCGCCTGTCTCGTATCCCATATGTTGAAACCGCAAGCGGTGGTAAATGCAACGCGCCGACGGATTGCGCAATGGAAAAGTAGCCGGATTTTTGGTCGACCTTGCACTCACGCACACGCGCGATAATGTGTGTTGCTCGGAGTAATATCCAAACTGCAATTTACAAATCGCCCTAACTCTGGGAAAGGATTGGCGAGGTAAACCTCGCTCGCTGCGAGAAACTCTCTCGCGACAATCTCGCGAGGATATCGGCGAGGTAAGGCTGAAGAACGCGCGCGCGCGCGCGCGCGCGCGAGGCACATGGAAAATGCGTCGCGCGTGGAAAAGCCGTAACAATGCGGAGGCATTAATTTTACCGAATGCGCGTGTATACGCACGCAACGCGCGGAGAGACACGCACGAGGAAAGATACGTGATGCGCGAAGCGCATCTTGCATTCCCGCAATTTCAACAATCAGGCCTCTCTTGCAAGAGGAAGTTCGAGCCGGGCTCTTTCTCGGTGAGGTTTTTCCCTCTGATTATAGAGCCCAGTTGATTAATAAGCGCCCCTGGAAATCGAGATAATTGCGACCTAATGAGAAAATGTGCGGTCGTTACTGGAATAAATATCATCGAGAGTGCGTTTGTGCATTTCGCCCTTTAACCATCGACGGTAAATGAAAAGAAAGAAAAAAAGAAAGAGAAAGAGAAAGAAAAATCGCCGGAGGGCAGAGTTGCAAGAAGGATGTCAGACGGTACATCTTAAAAGATGCTCGCGTCCAACCTTTTCCAATTTTCTCGATGGGACACGAACCGAACTGCTGGATTCTCACGCGACGTAGAGCAACGACAAAAGCGCTATTATTATTACTACTCTCGGTGATATTTTCCTTTTCTATTTTTTTTTTTTTTTTTGCTTTCCAGAAGTCTCCGATGTGCGTGCAATGCGAATTATGGTCGAGGTACGCGTGGGTGCCCAGGTATGTCCGGGTGCCGTCGGATAGAGTTTTGAACACGCACACGTCTACTTCCCATACGCACGTACGATGAACGACGAAATCGTTGTGCAATCATCGTCGAGTATACACAGTACGCTCAGTATACTCTAATGACGAGTAATAACGAATTTACTTGCGCGATACAATGCGCGAGCGCGAACGTATTATCGTAATGGTGATTAAAATTAGGTAACCGAAGTGGAAAAATGAGAGAGGGAAAACTCGATCGCTGGGAAGAGAGGGCTCGGGAATGCAAGATTAATTTCCAGAGAATGCTACGACTAATTAAGCACGCGCGTAGCCGGAATGAGCGGCATACGAGGGAATTAATTACTTCCCCTTCTCCTTCGCTTAATTCATAATGGCGACGAGTTTTATGCGGTATAATGCGAGTTAATGCACTTACGTGAGGTTTACGAGAGTAAAAACGAATGATAACTATTCGCTTTCTGTACAATTTAATTTCTCTTTGCAAGAGTAAGGCACGTCTGTTAAATCTGTCCGTATATACTATCTGTCAAAAAAGTAATAGAAAACAAGATGATTAAATTATTTCAACAAGATATAATACAAAGGAAAAATATAGTTTAGACTTTTTGTTACATATTAATAAAATTTTTTTGAAAGTTGGCCTATTATTTTCTGTTGTTTTATTTGTTCTATTACATTATTTTTAATTTAATCGGAAGTGCGTAATACACGCTCGAACTTTTGACAAATAATGCATGTCTTCTGCAGACGTATGTATTTGCGTACAATTTTTATTATTAATACCGCAAGTGCGTTCGGACTAAAATTGCACGACGGATATCCGGGTGTAATTTATACGCGCGCGTAATTACGCGTTTTCAGCGGGGCGAGATTGTCTTCCTGGCGGCATTGAAGTCACCGGCTGACCGGAGTATTCGGACGCGAAGGTCGCCGGGAAATGCCGGAACGAAGGAAAAAGGCAAAAGATTTGAACGGGATATGAACGTCCTCGACCGCGCGAACGCAGAAGGACGGTCGCGTACGCAGCGACTGACGTCAGGGGAATCGATTTCAACGCACGGCTCCAGATCCCGTTCTCTCCCGGCTGTCATCAACACACGGCGGTTGACCTCGAAATCATTCGCTCGCGATCTTGAAAGCGACCGTGAGGTCACTGTCCTTGCCCGCGAAGCGATCCCAAAATCTTACTCGCGACGATCGAATTTCCGACCGAGGCGTTCCGTTTCCGAGGAATGCAGCGGAAAACGAATATTCCACATTGGATACTTTCAAACACACTTTTACCAATGTTCCGTAATATCATTGGATATTCGTTAATATTAAAAATTTCCGCTATATATGTAAAATATTTAACGACTATTCGATGACGGCCGTATTTGTATAATTCCTACTGAGGATCTTGCGCTTACATTAATTTTTACGTATTCGAGAAGCTGGTTGGTTTTTCCCTGGTGCGCCTTTCAACTACCTTGTGTATATATGTCCCGGTATTACATAAAGAATTCACACAGCAAACGCAATTTTCCATCGCGTCGCTGACATTTGACGTGGTGGAAGTGGAATTATGCCCCCCGCAAAATATAATGCAACCGAGTATCTGCGGCTAACGACATTCTAGTGCGTTTACAGTACGGTGCATCATCTGCAAATAATACGTTCTAGAAGTGCGCCTGGCGAATAATGCACCGCGACGCGAGAGCGTTGCACCCGGCACGGGGACTAAATGTCAAGCTGAACGCCTCGCATGGACGATGCGTGTCGACCTAAAGAAATACTCAAATGATGCGTCGCGATTGCTAAAGTGACACGAAACGGCAGCTTTTTACGACAGTTAAATTAAACACGTATCCGACGGCAGTCCGCGCGCCGGCTAATCCGCGCTTTCTTGATCTTCGCTAATTATACGGCCATCTCACGTTTCACGTCGCACTGATCACCAATTACACGACCACACGCATGTGTACATTTTTTCCTATATTTAAGTTTCAATATTATATCTATATTAAACTAACGTGTAATTTGAACGACATATATTTTCACGAATTCTCAAGCGCAATGTTTAAATATTCCAATTTCTTCAATGTCCGTTCATTAACTTTCTCTAATTTTATTTTTGATTTATTTACTTTAATTCAAGGCCTCTTTTTCGATGTCGAGCTACAGGCAGAGTTTTGAAGGCAAGCATCTTGTTGCATTCTCGATAATGGAAAGTACCGAGCGCGGGAGCCGGCTTATCATAATGAAAAATTGCGAAACTTTTTTAACACCCAGCGAACGTGTCGTAAGAAACTGCGGTTTTCGGTGACGCTTTTTTGCAGGAGAGAGATAGATGGAAAGAGAGAGAAAGAGAGAGAGAGAGAGAGAGAGAGAGAGAGAGAGAGAGAGAGAGAGAGAGAGAAT